GGGGGGGGGGGGGGGGGGGCTTGGAAATGTCTAGGTGCATTTTTTGGTTATCATAAAGATGGGGGTGCTACTGGCCCTATACTGCCATGGGGCCAGGATCCTAAATGTCAAAACAATTCTATACAATGAAGAATTGTCCTTCTCGGGGTGCCAGTATTTCCCCCGTGAGAACACGGTCCAAAGAATGACTAGCCCTTTCCTTTATTCTCTCCAGTACTCCGTATATAGAAGTCATCATGGTAATAATATGAGCAACCATATTTCTGAGCCTTTTCTTATGCTGGCACCATACTTAATGCTTTACTTGTATGCTTATGTAATTCTTACAGAAATTCTATTAAGAGGATGTCTATAGCTGATGAAGCTGAGGCTTAGAGAAGTTAAGGCACAAAGTTAAAAGTACCGTCCCTGGGTTTCAAACCTGCTAGTCTCTGTGACCGGAGAGTGCTTTCTGAACCACTTCTGCCACACTGGATCCTGTAGCAGTGTCCCCCCGCCTGTCTTCATCCCCGACTGAGTTCTTCAAGGTGAGGGTGTCCTGCTGTTATCCTCCCCCACAGTGCCTTGCTCTGAGTGGGTGCCACTCAACACGGGAATGACTTTTAAGAAGTGTACTTAGGGGAAAAAATCCCACCTCCATTTGAATAACTACAGGTCATATTTTTGTTACTTAAAGGTAATAAGAGATTAGTATGTGTTATTTGTCAATGTCAAAGCCAGTTTTTAAAAAAAATTACTGGACTTTTGACTATCATTTCAAACAACTATTTTTTAAACAAACTTAGTGTGATGCCTTAGCTGTTGAAATATAACACAGAATGTAAGCTCCTAGCACATGGAGACTAGGCCACATCCATGGGTCTCTCATTTACTTTCTTAAAGGAAAGAAGCAGCTCGTGCTGTTCCTACTGATAGAGAAGAGGACAGAAAAGATCCAGAGTGCCATTACTTTGAGAATTAAACAAAAAGAAAAAGGTGAAACTCTGAACTTGAACAGTTTAGCTAGAAAGGCTTCCTGTGACTTATTACCCTTCCTTGCTAAGTTTTCCAGACCAGTGGGGACACCATATCTCCCCAACCTCTGACTTCTTAATCTGTCATTAGCCACGCTTTGGGTAGTTAGATTGTCTTAGTCTGTGACTGGCATTCCAGGGCAGTTCTGAATGTGAAGCTAGATTTTTCCTTTGATGTACCATATTCCTAGGCAGATTTCTGCATGCTCAAGGAATGAACGTAGCATCTGCTTAATAAAAACATAACAAGAGGAAGAAGAAAAGAACTGACTATTATATCATCAAGTATTGATTGACCTTTGACTCTGCATTCTTTGTATTATCTATCGTACTGCTTTGTTTAATATAAATATAATGAAATACAGGCTAATCTTTAGGTGCCTTTATGATTTTTGTTTTTTAAAAAATAAAAGCTAATAGACTAAATGCAGAGGAACTGAGCAGATGGAGAAGTTGTATAGAGTTTAGATGAGATGATAGATGTGTGGATTATACTGCACCTTGAGCAGGACAGTTTGTTCCTGTCATGGAATTCATATGCTTTTGAATTACACTAACAACTTGGCATTAGCAAGTTCATTACTCCTTAATTTATACATGCATTTTCAATATTTCTAACCAAAGAATTTGTAGCTTACTTGAGAAAAAATTTGTTTCCTGTGAGGTTGTGTCAAAATCAGATGTTTATTAAACTCTTAAATATATGCCCCAAACCGTAGCACTTTAAAAACATCTTTATATAGTAAATCACTGAAAGGACTGTTAATGCTTTTCTCACACATGTTAGCATTTACAATTTTGCACTTTATAGTTTATTTGAAATGTAAAAATAATTGTACTTTATTTTATGTCTGCCTAATATCTAACTTTGAGCTCTCATCTTTAGCAGAGTTTTTGATGCTTTTATTAAACTTTTAATTTTAACTGAAACAATGTCTTGTTTTTTGTTTTATTTTAATTGCTAAACAAAGTTTTGTTTAATAACCAGATGTCAAGTTAGGAAATGGAAGATGGAATAGACCTCCAAAGAGATGGTCACAACTGTCTTTAGACAGGAGGATAGTTTTTTTTAAAATATCCCCTCAGAATAAAGTTATTCACAGGAAGGTAATAGTCCAAGTTTCTTATATCCCGCATCAAATCCCAGCACTAGTGGAGAGATAGATGAATCAAGCCCACTGAGGCCAAGTATTTAGGGCTGTCTTTTTTACACTCCCAGCTCAGGCAAAAGAGCTGCTTAATACCTGAACCCTTTTTAGACTATGGGTAAGCCCCTGCCAGCTTTTCCCACAGTCCACTTTTCCTCCTGCAGGTCACAGCTCAGAAGTCACCTCCTCAGAGAGAGTTTCCACTACATTCCTATCTAAAGGGGACTTTCCAGAGAACTCCCTAATCTTACTATCGATTTTATTTCCTGCAGAGCCCCCATCACTAAGTGCAATTACATTGTTTATTGAAACCCTGGGTTTCTACCATCTCTCCCAGCTGCAGCCCTTCAGGATGTGAGGGACTGACTGTGTCCCATGCCTCACCAGAGCATGAGCCTCCCACAGAACAGGCACTTAGTAAATATGTTGGACAGATGAAGGATGAAGTGAGTTTGGAGGAAGGTGATTGACCTTTTAAGCTACAGAGAGAATGACACAGGCAAACCTGCCACTGTTTTCTGTCTCCCACCTCAGTGACTGTGGCTGTGACACCACAGTATGAGTTTCAGTTGAAATAGTAGATAGTGATATAAGGGGAACACTCAAAATCCAATAACTTGGCCCCCTCAAATCTGCTTCAGTTTTGCTGCGTTGTTTTTAGAAACCAAATTCATTTAAGTGAGATATTTGTTCATTACTAAGTAGGTTTGGTTTTATTAGCTAAATTGTTAATCTTATTGAGCTATTATCATGGTTGAGATGATATTTTATATCCCAATCAGTGCTCCCCTTTGTATGAGGATTTGAGGGCTTCATCAGTTTTCATTAAGGGATAAGGCTAATTAAACAAGGCACAATGAACGGTAAACTTCTTTGCCTTATTCAGTCAAGGATTTCATGCTCAAGATTATTCTGTTTAACGGCAATGTTTTTTATAGGGCAATCTAGGTATATATAAGTTACCTGCATTTAACAGATCCTTGAAGGCATAGTTTTATAAGAAACCCCTGAATAGACTATCTTTGCAATAATCTTGCTAACATTAGTATCTATATTACATTTTTTAATATCACAGGAAGCTACTTAAAAGGCCTCATTGAGAATTCGGACCCATTCTTGAAAGAAATATTCTCTAGAAATAAAGTAATCTATGTTTTTATGAGTTATTCTGTTTTTACAAATTTGTGGGCTCTTTTAAGCATGTCAATGTCTGCAACAGAAGTGTGTTTAGTCGTCACAATTCTTATGATAGTTTTCCAGCTTTTTGAAATCCTGAAAGCTTGGTTTGACCCCTTTATATCATGCCCAGGCTTCCCACTGTGGAAGCAGACTCCAATTTAATATAACTACTGATTTTTTTCAAGTAGCCCTCTCATAACACGGGAACCACTGTCCTGACACTGGGCCCACATAGCCTCAATAGTTCTAATTAAGATGCTTATGTGGTATAAAAAGGCATGCTTTTCCTTGAGGAAAAAAATTTTATTTATGCATGTCCTATATCCAGTTGAGTGTTCATGAAATGAACATACCCATGTAACCAGCACTCAAGAAAGAATGTAGTCATGCCATGATCCTCCCCATCAGAACCACTGCTGCTTCCTTAAACTCAAGTTGGCAGATTCTTGAGTAGAAATCCTAAGGTGCTTTTTGGAGAGTAAAACACTGAGAGAATTAATGTTCGAGGATGTGTTCAAGTTAGTACTCATTAAATTTGGGTTCTTGTTTCCAAGTTTAGCAACAGTAGCCAAGGAATAATGATGATTTGTTTTTTTCTGTATAAAATCATCCTGCTTGGGCCGGCCCGGTGGCGCACTGCGCTAGTGCGCCGCTTGGGAAGCGTGGCGGCGCTCCCGCCGAGGGTTCGGATCCCACATACAGACCGGTTCCCGCTCACTGGCTGAGCGAGGCGCGGGGGCAACACCGAGGGTTGCGATCCCATTGCCGGTCCCGGTCCGGTACGGGGGCGACACTGAGGGTTGCGATCCGTTGCCGGACACGGAAAAAGACAAAAAAAAAAAAAAAAAAATCATCCTGCTCATCTTTCTATTTTTAGCCTTATTTCAAAATTATTTATTATGAATCATGCTATTGACTGGACAGTTACACTGTAGAGATACAGTGATACTATATGAACCAATTAAACAAAATAGCATAAATCCATATCCTCTGAACATATAAATAAAGTGGCACCACAGTGTGAAAGAACAAGGAAGAATATTTTAAAAACAGTGTTGGGATAATTGGTTAATTATTTTAAAAATAATGGCCTTCTTTCTATGTACCAAAATTAATTCTGAGAGACCTAAAAAGCAAAGACAATATATCTGTATGTGTCTAGGAAACATTTGATAGGAGAATGGGAGGTACTTTTCTAAGGATAAAGAAAAGTAACGAAATTGGGAGTGACGTCAGCGAGATGGCAGACTAGGAGATCCCAGACCTTGCTCCCCCACAAAACAATGATTTAACAACTATCCACTGATGAAAATAGCTTCAGGAGAGCTTCAGAGTCCAGTTAACAAGCTGCAGCAACCAAGTGGAGCAAAAATCCCTGAAAATAGTGGCATAGAACAGGGTAGAAAGAACAGTTTTGTTTACTTATGTCACTCTATGCCCTACGCCACCACAGCTTAGTGTCAAGAGGAATTCCTTTGGCCAAGAGTTACCCTGCAGGGAAAAGGAGAGCAGAAGGAGCCAAACAGCTTTTGGCACTGAGGTCACAGCAGCCTTTGCTGCTGTAGTGGATTGAATTATGTCCCCCCAAAACTCACTGAAGCTTGGATTGTGTCCCCCAAGTTTACTGTTTCAGAAACATGGTCCCCACTGTGACTGTTAAGAGGGTGGGAAATCCTGCTATGGTAATTGGGAGCCTTGAAGAGGTGGTTGGATTGTGGGACCATGATGTGGTGAATGGATTGGAAATGGTGGTTGGGGGCATGGTTCTGAGGGCTTTAAAAGAAGAGAGAGGAGAGTCTGTCTCTCTTTGCTCCACCATTTCACAGTGTGAGACCACTGCACCACTGTCGCAACCACCAAGACCCTCAGCAGATGTGTTCCCTGGACTTTGGACTTCCTAGCCTCCGAAACTGTAAGCAATAAATTTCGTTTTCTTTATACAATACCCAGTTCTGGCTATTTTGTTATAAGCGACAGAAATGGACTAATACAGCTGCCAAGGACCCAGTCTTCACTGAAGTGGACCCCCGCTGCTGGAGTTGCCTGGAGCCCATGCCCCCATGCCTCCCTAGAGCTGGAACTGCTGTGCCCCAACCCGAGCCAACATCATCACACACTCCCTGGATCTGGTGCCTCCATATCCCCACTGGACCCGGTGCTGCTATGTCCCCAGAAACCCAGAGCCCCTGTGCTCCCTGGTCATGGTGCCACCACTCAGACTTCCACCATGAGGCTGGCACCACCACATATTTTAGTTTAGTTCTGAAGACTCGAAATGAAAAGGGTCATAAGGAACTAGTAAGAACAATTATAATCAACGAACTGGTTAACCTAGAAAAAAAATAGATAAATTCCTAGTAACATACAACCTACCAACACTGAATGAAGAAGTAGAAAGCCTGAAGAAAAAAGAAAGAAAAAAAACAAGGAGATTGAACTAGTAATTGAAAACTTTCCAACAAAGAAAAGCCCAAGACCAAATGGCTTCATGGGTGATTTATGACAAACATTCAAGGAAGGATTAATATCAATCCTTCCTAAACTCTTTCAAGAAACAGAAAAATGGTGAATGCTTTCAAACTCACTTTATGAGGCCAGCATCACCTTGAAACCAAGGCCAGACAAAGACACCACAAGAAAACTATAGGCCAATATCACTGGAACATAAACACAAAAATCCTTAATAAAATACTAGCAAGCCAAGTTCAACAGCATATTAAAAAGATCATACACGATGACCAAGTGGGATCTATCTCTGGGATGTAAGGTTGGTTTAATATATGCAAATCAATGTCGTAAGCCACATTAACAGTATGAGAGATAACCATGTGATCATCTCAATAGATACAGAAAAAGCAATTAACAAAGTTCAACGTCCTTTCTTTTTTTTTTTTTTTTTCCTTTTTGTCTTTTTTCATGACTGGCAACGGATCACAACCCTTGGTGTTGCTCCCACACCTCGCTCAGCCAGTGAGCAGCCGGTCTGTATGTGGGATCCGAACCCTTGGCTGGAGCGCCGCTGTGCTCCCAAGTGGCACACTAGCAGTGCGCCACCGGGCCGGCCCCTCAACGTCCTTTCTTAATAAAAACTCTCAATTTAAGAACAGAGGGAAATTTCCTCAACGCAATAAGACCATTTCTGAAAAGCCCACAGCTAACATCATAATCGATGGGATAAAGCTGAAAGCTTTTCCTCTAAGATCTGGTACAAGGCAAGGATACCCACTCTTACCCTTTTTATTCAACATAGTACTGGAAGGCTTAGCCAAAACAATTACACAATTAAAAAATAAACAAATAAAAGATATCCAAATTGGAAAAGAAGTAAAATTATATGTTTGCAGATGACATGATCATACATGTAGAAAACTCCTAAAACTAAAAAAACAAAAAAAACCTGTTAGAACTTACAAACAAATTCAATAAAGTTGCTGAATGCAAAATCAACATACAAAAATCAGTGGTGTTTCTATACACTAACAACAAACTATCCAAAAAGGAAGTTAAGAAAACAAACCCATTTGTAGTAGCAGCAAAAAGAATAACTTACTTAGGAATAAACTTAACCAAAGAAGTAAAATACTTGTACACTGAAAATTAGAA